AAAGTTATTGAAAAACATCACTTCATATAGTTGATAACAGTGTTATCAAAATTTCCACAAAATGGGACTACCGAATTTCCGCAGTGCTTTTGTTCTTTTGTTGTTAATGAAACCTAAGTGCATTTAGTAAAGACATACTTTTCTGGGGAAGTGCATCTTCAGAAAAACTTGGTGCCTTGATCTGTTCCTTGGCGGGATATTTCTGCTATTTCCAGAAATCAGGCTGGATACAACTTGCCTGCCATATAACTTAATTCTATACTTTTGGACATAACTGACCTGCTAAATCGGCTTGTCCCTACCTGCTTCAGAGACAATGGAGTTATCTACTAAATAATCCACATTTAAACACATGGTAAAAATAAGGGTAATCTTTTCCTGTTTTCCTTCATCTCCCTTGTTTAATATGTCTTTTCACTTCTTTCCCCCACCATTGAACAGTGGAACTAGCATAGAGTGTTACTCAAGATGTGTAACCTCTAACTTGGCCTCATTTAGTCATTTGCCTTTCTGCGGAACTGTTAGTAGAATTATCTGCAGTCCTCGGGGCGCCTGGGTGGCGCAGTCGGTTAAGCGTCCGACTTCAGCCAGGTCACGATATCGCGGTCCGTGAGTTCGAGCCCCGTGTCGGGCTCTGGGCTGATGGCTCAGAGCCTGGAGCCTGTTTCCGATTCTGCGTCTCCCTCTCTCTCTGCCCCTCCCCCGTTCATGCTCTGTCTCTCTCTGTCCCAAAAATAAATAAACGTTGAAAAAAAAAATTAAAAAAAAAAAAAAAAGAATTATCTGCAGTCCTATTGAGAGCTAAATGTGTTCTCATGATTACAGAGTTTTCGTATGTATTCATGACGTTTCATAAATTAAAGTCAAATAGGCTTAGGTGTGTGCACATGTGTGTCAAACAGATGTGTGCATGTGCACACACACATCGTGCCTGGAGTCCGAGCATAAAAAGTTGAATCAGACACTTTCATGGTGTGCCACATCGGGCTCTGTGTTGACAGTGTGAAGGAGCTGCCCCTCCCCACCTCCTCTCTCTTTGTCTCTCAAAATAAATAAACAAAAACTTAAAAAAAATGTTATCATAAAGGGTCAAATAAGAGTTGATTCTAAACCTCCAGATTCTTGGTTGTAATATATTCCTAGACATATTTTTCAAGTATTTCTCTTTGCTTGTTTGTGGTTTCATTAACAAATCATGTCAAAGGGAAGGTGAGTACTTCTAATCTTCAAAAAATAAACCTTAATTTTTTTCTGATAGTAACATTTCCATTTTATTTTATTTAATCTTTTAAAGTATATTTATTTCGAGGGGCGCCTCAGTGGCTCAGTCGGTTGAGCGTCCAACTCTTGATTTAGGCTCGGGTCATGATCCCATGGTTTGTGGGTTTGAGCTCCGTATCAGGCTCTGTGCTGACAGAAGATTCTGTCTCTCCCTCTCTCTCTGCCCCTCCCCTACTCACGCTTGAGCTCTCTTTCAAAATAAATAAACTTTAAAAAATAAAGTTTATTTATTTTGAGAAAGAGAGAGAGAGAGTGTGTGTGTGTGTGTGTGTGTGTGTGAGAGAGAGAGAGAGAGAGAGAGAGAGTGGGGGAGGGGCATAGTGCGAAGGATAGAGAATGCCAAGCTCTGTGCTGTGAGTGCAGAGCCCTATGTGGGGCTCCATCCCATGAACCCTGAGATCATGACCTGAGCCGAAATCAAGAGTTGGACACTCAACCGCCTGAGCCACCCCGTACTTTTCCGTTTTAAGATACAGTTTTGTAAACAGCTAAGAACTATATTTCTGGTGAAATCATCCTGGACATGATTGAATAGTGGGAGAAATTTTGAAGTCATATAGAAGACATTGAGTTCTAGTTTTCTTTTGGTCATTTTCATGCCATCAAGTTTTCAAGCCACAGAGGAACATACAACCGAACTTAAAGCATCATTCCTCCATCAGGCAAACTGTCCTCTACAATCCGATTTTGATTGAGTTTCTCCTGTACCATTGCATTCTTAACAGCCCAGTCTGCAACTACTAAGATTAATTTCACTTGGCTTCCTCCATCCAGAATTCAGCAGAAGTGAAAATGCTGGTTCTTCTCACTGCTTCACGGAGCAGGTCGTAGCCGCTGTAAATTCTCTACCATAAGGACACGAAAAATGGGGGATGGGGTGGCTTAAAGAAATACTGAAATGCCCATAGGTAGGGCTTGTTAACTGATTATTTTTTAAGAATCTTAAAATGGTGGCATTTCACACATTTGACTCTATAATGTCAACAGGAGCCCATAGTTCTCTGAAGGAGGTTCATTGGTCTCTTTTATGGAACAGTGGAGTAGTAGCCTCTGTGATGATCAACAAGTAAGTGGGAGAGAAAAGAGGGCATCAGGAAGATGGATGGAAAACTGTGGTGGGAACCAGAAGAGTGGACAGCAGTCGCAATTTCCTATCTTTAATCAAGCCTTTATAGTCACTAAAGTTTTGCACATTTTGGGCAAAATGACTGACCATCCCACCCAATTCCTCACTAGTATTGACGACCTTGACTTTGACCTTTTGTTCTACTGCCCCAGCCCCAACCCAGCCATCCCAGGTCAGACAGCGGAGGAGACCCCTGGAGAAGGGGCGTGCACCACGTGAGCTGGGCTCCAGCTCCCTCCGGGCCCGGCACAGCGTCCACTCGGCTTCCGGGGCCTCCCAGCTTGGCAGTCATGTCTGACTCCACAGCAAATACCTCAGATTCTTACAGCTTCCGCCAGCCAGCGGCGCCTAGTCATCTAGACCCAACCTCTTCCTTTCCTCGAAACACTGAAGCCTCAAAGCGCTGGTTTCTTTGCTGCTCTGAGACGCCAGCAGCCTTTGGACCCGTGTTTGTCACTTCAGCTGGCATATCGAGAGGCCGTGTCCCTTCTGTGGTGGAAGGCATGCCCTCCCACCGTGCTCCAGTCCCAAACCCTCTTCCCTTCTAGCAACTTTATTTTTAATGTTTTTATGTATTTATGTTGAGAGAGAGAGAGAGAGTGAGAGAGAGAGAGAGAGAGAGGCAGAAATAGAGGGAGAGAGAGAACCCCAAGCCAACTCCATCAGAGTAGAGCCCAATCTGGGGCTCGATCTCATGACCGTGAGATCATGACCAGAGCCAAAACCCGGAGTCGGATGCTCAACTGACTGAGCCACCCAGGCGCCCCTCTTCTGGCAACTTTCTGCTCTTCATACCCCCTACACCTCCCTTTCTGTCAGCCTTCCATCCAGGATCTTCTGTGGGCTTCCAACTCAGCATGGAAATCTTCTGAAGGCTCTCCCAGTCCCCACCCCAGGGGGCTGGACTCCCTCACTTGCATGCTTCAGAGCTAGCACTGAGGGAAGAGAAGTCTTCACGGCCCCACCATCAACAGCAGTCTGTGTCTTTCCCCACACCACCACCCATTTCCTTGTGTCTACGGTCTCTTTTCTGTCACTATCAATCATTCTTGAAAATGTTACCCTTTTGTTTGGACGGCTCTGGCTTGTTTTAATTTTCCTACTCCCTTCCTGAACATTCAGTTCTTTCTTCATCCCGAAAATGTTAGCATCTTCTTTGGGGTGAGCTCATCCAGTCACAAGGGTTTGGTCATCTGCATGTTGATGACTTCCAGATCTTATTTTCTAGTCTCTTCTGAATGTCAGGTCCTTACAGCCAATTATTTTTTGGAATTCTACTGGAATCCCAACAAGGTGTTCAAAGTCAACCTGACCAATATAAAATATAAGACTTTCTCAAAAACATATCCTTCTTGCTGAGAACACTCTGGTTCAATGAGCTCACGCTCTACCCTGTTTCCTGAGACATAATCTTGCAAAACCTCGTTAATGCCTCTCTCTTCTCTTTCCTCTGTCTCCAGTCTATCCCTTCATCCTGCCAGTCCTGCCTCCAGGGCACCTGTCTCCCCTCCTCTTCACCACTGCTGGTCTCCCTGGATCACCCAGCACCCTTGCCCTTTCCAGGTAATCTTTCCTGGGCTATCAGAACACTTTTTCAAACACTGATCTGATCATGCCATTTCTTCGTTTTAAGACATTTAGGACTGCCCATCATTTCTAAGACCTAAGGGAAGCTCTTTTGCAAGAGAGACAAAACTCTGACTACTTCTCCAACCTCACCAATTTCTGCTTCTCTCACCCGTGGCTACCATTTTGCCAACATACCTGAGCTCCTGCATACACCACAGGCACAGTCAATGCTGGGTACCTTTGTACATGTTGCTAAGTATTCCAGGGGCACCCTTAAGTCCTGAATTTGCTTGGAAAATTCTTATTCAGGTATTGGCTCTTGGAAAGGAAGCCTCTTCCTGTCTTGTAGACTTTTATCCACTCTGGGTTCCGTCCTTTTTCTGAACACTTACAAACACCTCTTGTTCATCTCCATTATTCTACTTGCATACTGTATATTGTATATTATATTCTCTCTTTCCTGAGCATAGGGATACATTTGCTTTTGTTGTTGCTGAGTGTCCAGGGATGAGCCCTTTAACTTTATACGTGTCCTTTATACCTATATCCCCAGCAGCTGTGTATTTGGGAAATGATCCCTATGTGTTTGTTGCATGAGAGCAATAAATCAACAAATTACTCAGCCACTGCATGATTAAAGGATATTGGCCAGAAGAAATAATAAATTACTCGCAATTAAAAATCTTTAATAAAAGTATTAATTACAAAGCATGTGATAGGACCCACCAGATTTCTATATGAAATGCCTAAAACACCTGTGACCTTCTCCTTTCCGTAGGAAGGGTGCAGGTAAGGTGAGAACCAAGTGAAACAGTGTAAATAGGTTCTGGTACAGCAAGAACTTTTTTTTTCCTTCCTGAAACATCATGTGCTATTATGTATCAAAGCCTTGTAAACACAGGGCACACAACGTCCAGGTGACTTCTATTATTCTGGAGACCAAATATGGCGGAAGTGACTTTTAACCACTGGAGTTTGACCACAAGCCAAGCTATAAGGCTGTGTGCTTTTTTTATCCTAACAGGTATTTGAACCAGTCCCTACCAGAAGAGGTATCAACAGCAGAGCATTCTATGAACAGGGAGAAATTTGCTCTTTTGAAACAAGCCCTGAATGTAGTTGGCTTCAGTAACATGGTGAGTCGTATCATAAAATATTTCACTGAGAAAACCAACCTTGTCCTAATTTACACAAGTCTTTCATTCAAAAACATTTACTGAGTCCCTATTATATTCCGGATATTGTTGCAAATACTCCTGATTCAGCAGAGGACAGAACTCAGTCTGTGCCTCCTAGCATGTACATTCTCGGGGGGGGGGGGGGGGGGGGGGGGGGGGGGGGGGGGGGTAGGTAGACATGAACGCGGGGTCCAGGGTCATAGATACTGTTTAGACAAATAGAGGAGGAGCGTCTGTTTTCAAGAAGGTGGTCAAGGAGACCTTTGACCAGAAGAACCCTGAGAGCAAAACAGATCAAAGAACTTTACATTGACCAGTTCTAGAGAAAACAAAGGCAAGGAACTGTTTGCTACTAAGAATCACTTTGAAAAGTAACCTAATCTCTCATTAAAGTTTTCTGTGCAACATAAAGCTTGTTCTTATTCTTAAAGAGTTACACCTGCAGGTATTATGAGGTTGAAAAATACAATTTAAAAGGTTCAAACCGCCACTCTACAGTAGAAATTTCTGTAGTCATGGAAATGTTCTCGATCTGTGCTTCACAATATATGGCAGGTGCATGTGTGGCTAGTGGGCATTTGAAATGTGGCTAGTGTGAATGAGGAAACGGATTTTTAATTTTTCTTGGTTTTAATTCATTTAAATTTAAGTAGCCTGTGTGGTCAGTGGTTACCGAATTGGACAGCACAGGTCTCCTGGACAAGAGATGTGAAACGAGCTAAGCCTGGAGTGCCCTCAAAATTCCCTCAAATTTGTCTTTCCCTTACACAGTAGCTGTTCCCTCCTCATTCAGTTTGGTGTAATTTTGAATTATGGGGACTTCCTCACTAGCAAGGAATGTAAGATTGCATGGGTAACTTTGGAGTGGCCAAACCCAGATTTAGTCATAGAGTTAAATATGTCCTTTTTCTTAGGGCAGTAAGTTGATGGCTTTGGGTCTTTGCTTCTTTTCTTTTTCACCCTAGTCCACATAGACACAGCCCACAGGGCACGGAGGTCTAGGAAGGGGTGGGGAGGGAGGGATAAGGAAATGGGGACTGTCCCTAAATGAAACAGCTCTGGCCACTTCACCCTTGCCCCTTTCAGAGATGGGAATTCTAGCAACATAAATCATATGGTATCTTTTTGTTGCTTTTTTTTTTGTTTTGTTTTTTGGTTTTTCCTAATTGTACGATCTGTATATTTCTTTTAGCAAGTCCTAACCTATTTGCAAGTTTCTGTCCTTGGACTTGCTACGGTTGTACTTTTAGGTTATTTTTCCCCCTTCTTCTGTGCCTAAAATGTCTGCTTCCTTATAGGAAACTGGCATAGACAGGTGGATAAGGAACCATTCTACCAAAGTGCCCGTTGCCTGGAAACAGGGCTTTAAAAATCCATGATTGATTCTCAAAGGCAGGGCAACCAAAATGTGCTTTCCACCTGAGGTAGCTAAGAGAGAATTTAACAGCCTCTTTGGTAAAAGAAATGTGTGCCTTTTAACAAAGACATGAAAGTAATTGTTTCACTGTGATCCTTTAGGATGTCTGGTATGGGGACATTTTAGTGCACTTATGAGGATAGATCATGTTCAGTAAGGCTAGAAGAAAGGTATATCTGGTCCTTGAATCCAGACTTGTCCTTTAAGGTGCCTCCACCTGCGACCTCTGTCATCACCGCCATCGCCGGCCAGCGGGACGGCGGGGGATTGGTGTTGGGTCCAGGCAGACACGGGGCAGCGTCCCTGGCCTCTGCTCACAGGGCAGAAGATTCCGCACACGGTAATCCGTAGTGTGGCCGACTGTCGCACTATGTCTCCACTGCTGAGCTGTGAGATCCTTGAGGTCAGGACAAAGCCTTCCTGTCCCCGTCTGCAGAGCCCCTACCTCACAGGGCGCTGGAAAAGCTACTGAGAAGTTACTGGATTTATTAGAAAAGGGAGGAAGCAGTTGTCAGGTCGTGTAAGAAGTAAAATGTTGTTGTAACGAGCATAACTGAATAAAACTCGAAACCGTCATCTGTAATTTGTGGGTTACCAAGCCCATTTTTAAGTATTGCCACAATCCTACGGTATCATACCCGAAAAATTACTTAGAGACCGTCCTTGTCCGTGTTCTCACTTTCAAGATGATAGAATTATACTTTGTGGTGAAAAACAGAAGTTCTGGAGGAAATTCATGGAAGTCCCCAGGGCTGTATGTTCACCTATATATGTATAAAGTGAATAAGACCTATTCTTAGTAACTTTAGCAGCTCTTTATTTCGAAATTACAGACTGGAAAAATGAGGATTTGAAGACTATGTCACTTGCCCAATGTGGAACCTAACCAGCTTTACTATTGATGTCGTTATACTAAATATTTGTTCTTCTAGAGAAGTGTATTTGTTAGCCTACAGCTTTCCCTTGATGTTTCATTCTTGCCACGAAATGGCGGTCCACGAGCCAGATTTAAGGTCTGATTTCTTTCTTTATGCAGAGTTCCACATTCTCAGATACCGTCTTTCAACAAATGTTCTCTTACTTCCTTCTACCTTCTGCTCAGAGGTGGCTCTGGCCAAACATCCATTTCTTTCTGTTTTCCTTAAAATACCTTAAAAACACAATTAGCATTTTTTTTAATCTAGGCATAGATATTTGTATTGTGCCTTCCTGAATTTTCCAGCAGGAGTGAAAAGTTCTGTCATCATAGCCTCGGTTCATCTCAGAGGGGAGGTAACTGGGAGATACGCACCATATAGCAGGCATCCTGGAAGGAAGCCTCCTCCGCGTCCAGCTCTGGGAGGATGCGGGCGATCTGACCGCCCCGGTGAGGTCCAGCCAGCCAGACTCAGGACACGGTGATCCAGTTTTCATTATGAGATTTGTCAAGAAGCTGTTGATTTATATCAGAACGTCACTTCCTCCCCACCACCTTTTTTTTTTGTTTAAGGAACAGAGACATTGATGTAGACAAAATGTGCACTGAATTGTGAGGTTTTGGTTTTGAGCAGAAGGTTGGTAGTTCTCTCGCCAGACCCCCGGCATCTGAAAAATCCCAGCTCCACTAATGGAGTTCACAGCATTGATTTTTTTTTTTTTTTTAACCTATTAGGTTTTTCAAGGATTTGTCTTATCTTTTCTTGTAAGCAATTCTCTCCGCTTTCTGTTTTTTCTAAAACGCGTAGGAGGTAGAGAATCTGTTTGTGATCCTAGCAGCAATTTTGCACATTGGAGACATTCGATTCACTGCTCTGACCGAGGCCAACTCCGCGTTTGTCTCTGACCTCCAGCTTCTGGAACAAGGTCAGTGGAGCACATCTCTCTCTAACCTCGTGGGTGTGCAGTTTTGCAGACCGGCCAGTAGATGGAGACACAGTACAGAAAAGCAGGGGGAAGAAGGCTTTCTTTGGGAGTAGAATAGAGCAGGAAAAAAAATAATAATAAAAAAAATCATAAAAGAGCTGTATCCACTTTGTTCTTTCTTTTCAATGGTTTTGGGAATGAAGAGCAGTGGGCACATTATGTTCTCATGCTTCCCACCATGTTTACAGAGCTGATTTTTAGGTGCATCCTGCGGTTTATTTATGTCGTTCTGAATATTTTCCACCCCCACCCTGCCGCCCAGTGTATTTTGGGGGCATGTTATTAACCACACATTTTAAACAATATAATTACTTGCCTTCAGAGGTCTTGCCAAAAACCTCTCTCTCCCCTTTGAAGTAGCCTTGTTAGTCACTCCCAGGTTTTTTCAAAATACCTTAAAACCACAGATTGTCAGTGAACATCATATCTTCACCTCATATCAAAGTAATTTAACCAGGGACTGGGAGAACGATTCAGGGCCATCTGTGAGGGCGAGGAGGGGAAAAAAAAAAACCTGTTGTGATTTAATACAGGAGCCCAACCAACTCAGTAATGTTTTGATAACTCCAAGCGATTGCTCTCATTTACTTTGATAATTAAAGTGGCCGTTCAGTTTTCTTTAATACCCACAGTTCCTCGTATGTAAAACTTATCAACGATGGCCCTAAAGTACGGTGTTCTCACCATCAAAAATATATACGTTCTAACTTGATTTTTTTCAACGCTGCTTTCATTTCAGTGGCTGGTTTGTTGCAAGTGTCACCTGATGAATTGGTATCCGCTTTAACAACGGATATCCAGTATTTTAAAGGTAAGCTTTACCCTCCTCTGATCGTTCATTCTGTCCAGTTTGTGGCCATCTTGGAGGCACGGAAAGTCAATGCCGCCTTGCCTTTCCCCACCTCCGGTGACTGCCCCCACGGACTGAATGCCAAACGCGGAAAGCCTTATGAACTCATCTGTTCACGCAATTATGACCCTGCCTTGTAAGCTCGTGAAGCTCTTGAGAGACCATTCTGATGAAACAGTCACCTTTTCTAGCCGGTCAGTCATTTTAGACAAATCCAGTCATCAGCCCAAGAGGATCTATTCAGTTGAGTCGTCGGAACCATTTGTGTATGTCGTGCCACGATACCCTCTATGTTTTAAGTCCTAATCATCGCTCCCATTTATGGGACACTTACAAACTGATGGGAAATGTGCCACGGGCCGTAAATGCCAGACTTTTAAAATCCTCACAAATGGCTGCCAAGGGGGCCTCGCCATTTCCTTCTTTAACAGATGAGAAAACTGAGATCCAAAGAGGATGAATAGCTTTGCACCTCAGATCACTAGTAAACGCCCTGTTGGGGATTAGAACCCAGTGCTGTCATGCCTACGTGTCACGTGTGGACACGGGGAATCTCCGTGCCATACGCGTGTCTATGCAGTGGGCAAACACAGTGGTCTTCCTATATGCCCTTTGGTTATTCCCCATACATCAGCACCTTCCCCCGCTTCCTCATATTGAAAGTTTAAGGACTCACCCTCCAGCTGGTCTTTTTTTTTCCTCTAATCACCACTGTCTTTACCTGCTTCTCCTCTTGGACCTACTTGGAGGTATTTAGGTATGTGGCTTATCAGTTGTGCCTTGTCTTCAGAGAGTTCCCCCCGTGTTCCGGAACTGTATGGATCTGCCCATTGTCCACTCAGTTACCTCTTCCTTCTCCTCCTCCACCGACTAGACCAGACACAAGCCGGCTCTACTCCACAAATCCCTCCCATTCTCGTTGCCTTCTCTTTATTTCTATCACCGCTGCCTCAATATATCTTTCCTTCCCTTGGTCACCGAATGACGTTGTCTCTCATCTTTTGTCTGGTCTCATCTCATTTGGCTTCCTTCCACACTGCTTCAGGAGTGGTCTTTCTGAATCGTATTCTGCAAGTAGGATTTTCATCCATGGATATCAGCCCTTCAAAGATGCTCCCAGGCCTTCCAGAGCGAACCTCATCTCTTTGGGTTGGCCCAGGAGGCCCTTTATGATTCGGGCCCACCAAACTTAGGCTGTATTCTGAGCCATTTTGTACCAGCCCTTGCATCCAATTACATTAAGTTTCTTGAACTTCTCCAAATTCATCATTTCTCGTGACTTTTTAAAGAAAACTTGAACTCACCATTAATATCTAGAATTTACTACAGGCAGGTTTTTCTGCTTACACTGTCCTCCTGTCCTTACTCACCTTCCAGCACCCTCCATCATGTTGACTCCAGGGACCTTAATTCTATGATATCAGCAAGGGCACACCTGCTCTCGTAGCCACTTAGTTTGTTGATCTTGGTGGCCTTGAACCTGTAGGTCCTTGAGTCTTCCTTACCTGCTGTTTTGTTTCTTTTTTTTCTTTTGTAAATTTTTTGAAAGTATATTTATTTTTGAGGGAAAGAGAGTAGGGCAGGGGCAGAGAGAAGGGGAGAGAGAGAAGCACAAGCAGGCTCTGCGCCGAACGCTGAGCCTGATGCGGGGCTTGAACTCACCAACTGTGAGATCATGACCTGAGCCGAAGTCGGACGCTTAACCAACTGAGCCACCCAGGTGCCCCCCCCCTTTTATTTTCTTTTATCTCAGCCTATCTCAGAAGCAGCTCTCCTCCTGAGTCTGCATCTCCACCGATCAAACGCTCGGCTGTCATTTCACACAGCCCTCGTCCTATTACTTAACTCCCTGATCAGCCTAGTGGCACAAGTTAGCCAGGCTGGCCACGGCCACACGGTCTGAATCCTGGACCCCCTGCTCCTCTCTGCGCTCCAGCACAGAAGCTATCATAGGCTCAGCCCCACATCTTCCTCACTGATTCCTTTTTTTCTTGGTTTCTTCTCTAGTCTACTCTCTTCTAAAAGCCTTATCACTCAAGATTTGGATTCCCATGTCTTAGAGAATGACATAAACATTTCTGCCCGAAGGCCCAAACTTGTTCCCAAACTCCACACTCGCATTTTGGTTAGCTGGACCATGTCTTTGAAAATATTTAAAATAGGACTGATTTCCCCAATGGCCAGGTTTCCAGATGCCTTGGGGAGGATTCATAGTCAAACCAGTGAGCTGTTATCTGGATGCTTGTTAAGAGGGGCCCTGCCAACCCTTGGTTCCCTAACAGAAAGGAAATTACACAGCCTGCATGGGGGTCGGAAGCCGTGCTCAGTGTTTGTAGCAAGTAAGATTGCAACGTACATGGCACTCGTTTGGGGAAACATTTTAAGAGACCTCATTTATAAGAGTTATCACGTGTTTTGAACATCTTTTGGTGTGTGAGGCTATGTGACGTGCACGGTGCTGTTTGCTTCTAAATGAGGGGAACCTCGTTCTTCTCTTTCCTCTCCCTTCTGCTGTCCTAGGAGACACCATCATTCGACGACACACAGTACAGATGGCTGAATTTTACCGAGATCTCTTGGCCAAATCCCTGTTCGGTCGTTTGTTTAGCTTTTTGGTGAATACCATGAACTGTTGCCTCCAGAGCCAAGAGGAGCACAGCAGGTAGGATGGACGGACACAGGTCTGCACTCTTAGTCCTGAGCCGACTTAAAAGGCTCCCCTCTTACAGATGCTTTGTAACCCAGCATGACACCCAAGTTACACTATCATTAAAACATTTCGTTTGAACAAGTGACCTTACCTAAAGGGTTTTATTGACTGTTTCTTAGAGATTTAAACCCTCTCCCCGGACTGGCACCCGTTGATGAATTAATCAAATCATATCTCATGCATGGAGATACAAATGCATCCTCTCTGGACTGAAGGTATATTATGGCCTTTTGAGCATGAGAAATGTAAAAAAAAAAAAAAAAAATCTGGCAAGAATACTTTTAAGGAATATATAAAGCACTTACATTTGTTGAGGAGTTCCTGTCTGTCTTAGGACCAGTTAGATGATGTGTTTCAGATTAGTGATGCTTCCTAGTTTCTTCACTTTGTGGATTATTTGACGAAAGGTCTCTCTGGTTATCATTTTGACTCATAGCCTTACTCGCCCGTAAGCGGTAGCTTTTCAGAACTATTTATGGTCTAAAAATTATAGTCATCCATGGCATACTTGGTTAGTATTCTTGTCACTAACAATGACTTTGAGCAGCATTGAAAGCAGAATTCACACGTGTGCTCGTCTTTGAATGAAACCCCTTGAGAATGTCTTTGTTGCCCACATAGAGTTCTCCACCAGTTTCCTAAAAATTGCTGCCTTTAGCGGTTTCTTGGAAAACACTAGAACCAACATGTATTAATGGATGCTTCTTAAAGAAACATGGACCTCTCAGAAGAGTCACGGACAAAGGGGTATCAAAGTCCTCATTAAAATGTACACTTAGAAATCCCACCGCACACTGATCCGCACGTGCACAGCACAGTGTGGGAGTGCAGGGTGGGGGTTGTTATCTGTATTTTAGCGGCTCTACCTTAGAGTTTGGTATGGTGAGGATTCTTGGTTTTTAATTATTTATTATCAGTTAATTTGTAATTTTCCTTTAAATATGGAGATTATTCACAGCATGATACTAATATGCTAAGTCTTGCAAATTAATCTTGTATAAAATTATTGGCAACGCTGCTGAAATTGACATTGAAAAAATTAATATTATCAATCCGGCCGCACAAAGAAACTTCTAGAAAATTTCCATTTGACATTTAAATCTAACAGAGCCTTAAATGTATATAATTGGAAAAACTTATACGTAGTCTTGCTGTTTGACTACATACACACACACAGAAAAATATATACACACGAACCTTGGAAAGCATAATATTTCCCTTTCAGTGGGAATATTGCTGCTGTGTCAATATGTAAATTTGTGGTGTTAGTGCTATCTTTTAAAATTCTTTACTAAGCAAATGAATGAAGACAGGGATTAGTGGGAAATTAGAAGTGATTTAATGTATTACAAGTTTAACTTAGAAGACATACTATTCTCAGATGAGTCAAATTTCGCATTTTTTTCACTCTCATTTCTCCCCTGGGTCACCCAAACCTAAATTTAAATCTCAAAACACTGCAAAGAAAGGTTATGTTTGCAGTGTTTCTAACTCATTGAAATTCATGCAAAGCTTAAGGATTTGTAGATTTACAGACCCATTTCCTAAGTCTCAGAGAGGTCTCAACACTGGGATAAACTTAGGTTTCAATTATTTATGAATCCCCCACTTTTTGGAAATGTGTAATCATGTCAGAAACATTATATAAGAAATGTGTATCCCATGGTTAAAGTTGGTGAGTGCCCTTCATGCTGAAGTGGAGTATCTTTCACGCCACATTTTTTTTTTTTTTTTTGGTGAATTCTGCAAGAAAGAATCCCTGTAAATAAGATGTACTGTAACAAGTTATTAAGAGAAGTCAAGCAGAATTGAAGCAGATGACATTTTTGTTCTTGGAATGCTGGACCCATTTCCTGGATTACAGCAGAACGGCAAAAAAATTACTTTCTCTACCCAGATTCAAAATAGCACCGCTTCTAAGTTGAAATCCTGGGGTATGATGTGGGAGATGCTGATGATTAGTTAATTAGGATGAACAGCAACCTTTGCAGTACCTGCTTGGCTAGTATCTCGCCAGTAAGATTACAGCGAAGACCCCTCCCCACCTGCGGGGCGCTATGGTATTCATGTCTTTGTAGGCTACCCGCACCAGGGACCCACCTGGCTGGGGCAGCTTTCGTCCAGGGGTCACACTCTGTGGTCAGGGCACTCCAGAAACTGAAACACGCTAAAGCTTTATTTATTGGGATTAGTTGAAAATGATTTGGTGCAAGTAGGCAAAAAGGAATAATGATAAAAATAGCAACAAAGACAATATACATAATGTATTATATATGTTATTATATGACGTATATATTGTATATGATGTATAGTATGACATATGGTGTAATAATATAATACCTCTGTCAGTTTTTAAAACTTTTGTGTTCACAAGGTGCATATGTATCAATCAGCTTCAGCAGAAATCCTGTCAGGGCGCTTTGGTGGCTCAGTCAGTTAAGCGCTTGACTTTGGCTCAGATCATGATCTCACGGTTCACGAGTTCGAGCCCCACATTGGGCTCTCTGTTGTCAGCACAGAGCCTGCTTTGGATCCTCTGTCAACGCCCTCCCCCAACCCCTCCCCTGCTCATGCAGTCTCTCTCTCAAAAATAAATACACACTTAAAAAAAGGAAAAAGAAGAAATCCCGTGAAATAGGCAAGAACAACATGTTATTGTGGAAGCAACGTCAGCTCTGGAAAGTTGCGATGCGTGGACAGCCAGCTCCTTTATCCCCCCTTCCGATGCACCTGCCTTTGAGAATGCCTACACAGATCAGAGTGTCGGTGTTTAATCCACTTTCCAAGACATTTCTTTTTCTAAACTATAACTTTGACCTGTAGAGTGAAGGGAGTCCTATAGCCTGTCAATCTGTCAGAATGGCAGCTCTTCACTCAGTGCTTTCATGGTCTTTGGAGGGCATTAGGATATAATAGCACTCACCTTCATGTCTGATCCTCAACCAAGAAGTAAGACAGTCGAGTAGGGCATTAAGAGCCAAGACACGGAGTCTGTGAAGGAGACAACAGAGCCGAGAGGCGCCTGCCGACGGTGAGCAAGCTGCTTCTGACCTCTGCCCTCCCGAGGCCCGGCTTGCCCGGTGGTCCCGGTTGGCCTTTCGGAGGTAGCGCTGGGAGCAGACCAACAGGGACCCCGGGAGGAGAGCCCCCAGCCTCCTGCCAGGGCCTCCTCCTTCACGTCGCGGTGGGGGATGGTGCTCCCGCAGAGCCCAGGAGACTTACAGCCGGTGGAACGTCCCCCCGTGAGAGGAAACCCCAGGACCAGGAGGAAGCATCTCTACTTAACAAGATGTGAGTGCTCATTTAGGAGCTGATCGGCTTGAAAGACCGAAGGCCGATCTGATGCCAGAAGGCACGTAGGCTTTGGGACTCCTGTGCTGAGTGAGCTGGGTCGCTTTTCCTTGGATTTCCCAAAGGATACAGCTGAACCCATCTGTCTTACGGTGTGATGGGCCTGCGCTCCTGCAGGCCTCAAGGTGTGGTCACTAGATATGCAGGAGGCCCTTACAGTTTACTCACAACTTGCTGCTTGTTCACATTGAGTTGACAATCTTCAACAATGAAAGTGTGATTTTAAAGTAATATAGAATAGTTTCTATAGAAACACTGATAAAGTAGTTACCTTGTATGTGACTTTTCTAGTATTACTTGGCCTCGACTCTACTGCATGTTGTCAGCTGACATCTAGTGACTGATGGAGCCATAGACAAATTCCATGTTGAAACCACGTGGGCATCCATATGTGGATTCCGATAACTTCGTATGTAGACAATTGGCCACCACCAAGAATACTGGAAACACTGGCCTTCTAGTCCATTCTTCACTGGCCAGTTTTTTCTCAGCAAATCCGAAGCTGTATTGTCCAGGTCCTTCCTGAGGAAATAGCCCTTCTCCCCAAAGAGAAGTCTTCCCTCGGACACTTTGTTCACTGCAGTCAGACCAACGTTGAGGTCTGCTTACTCTTCTCAGGAGTCTTTAAGATGATTTCCAGGGTCTCTTTTCCCCACGGAGGTAGCTCACCTGACTGGGAAACAGCAGTATCCGGCAGCTTGAAGATTCCCCGCTTCCCAAGTGGGCTCAATCCCCTGTCTGCCTTGTGATAGCAGATGTGATGTGCAAACACTTGGGGACTGTCGTCTCCTATATTCCTGTCCACGAGTCTTCCTGTAGCTCTAAGTAGGTTTCTTTCCGGGCCCCACCCGCTGTGTTCCAGAACATCATCTTATGAACAAAGTTTGTGACATAGAGAGGATTCTGGATACATTTCCTTAATACCTCCCTACTTCCATGATTTATTTTCCCTCATCATCGTAGAAATCCTTCTCCATTTCGCGATATTGGTTGGCTATTTTTAGTGTAACAGTCACAAGAGAAAGTCTTGCTCTTAAGTATTTGTTGTTCTTTTACTTACTAAAATTACAAACCTTTTGAAAAAGATACTAGGGAGACATTAAATTTATCTCTGATCGGAAAAGGCAGCATGATGGACCACACTATGTTGGCCACAAGAAAATGTTTCTTCTATTGTGTCAACATAAGTAGACTTGTCCACAGCTCTTCAAATCTGTGGTATTACTACGTGTCTTGGTGTAACCACTCTAGTAAATAAGTGTTATTTGTGGCGTAATGAAAACATGTGTTCTTATGCCTCACCTTCCCTTAAAGAGTGTGGTCTGAGGACAATGTTTATGACCCTGGGGAACACAGAGATAGGTCCCAAGGCTGCTCTGCTCCCAAATCACTGTTCTGTGAACTCTTTGCGTCCCCAAATATCCAGTGTTGAGACAGGAATTAAAAGTGTCCCAAGGTGGGGGTCCTCTCTGTGTGGTAGCTGACGGCCTTCTAGGAAGGGAAGGGCTCCCATGGGAGATGTACTTTCCTGTAGCTGGACAATGGTTACGGTTGACCTTTTCCTGGCTCCTCACAGGTTTCCCCCTGTAGTCCTCAGGGTG